ATATCATACCAATTTAGTGAAAAAATAATGGGGGTCACGGCGAAAGGTTTTTTTTTTTGTTAAAACTGCTGGTAGTGTAAGTCTTAATACATTATGCTGTATTTATTTTCGCCCACCCAAGCGAGTATATATATATATATATATATATATATATATATATATATATATATATATATATATATATATATATATATATATATATATATATTTTTTTTTATTTATATATTTGCCGTACATATAACATTTACAAGTTTCGTAAATTAAAAGTAATATTTACAAGTCTCGTGAGTCAAAATATATAGTGAAATTTATAATTAATTAGTACAGGCCGGACTTCAAGAAGATCGTAATGATCTTATCACGAAGCCCTTACAATGTGTTTGATATATATTATGATTATGTTAAATATAATTATATATTAAGTACAACTATGTTTATATATTCTTTAAATTTAGCTCATAATAAAAAATAAACTCAAAATAAGCTCTATAACTAGCAGCATAATAACTAAACTTGATAAGAAAAAATCAAGTGTTTTTTTTGTGTGTAATAAACAATTTTTGATATATTGATTGAGAAAGGTAAGAGTCATTTAGATAATACACATAAACGAGTCAGTTCACTTTGTAGTTGATATATATGTATTTTAATTTATAGTCTTAGAAGATATATATATATATATATATATATATATATATATATATATATATATATATATATATATATATATATATATATATATATATATATATATATATATATATATATATATATATGCATTTCCGAGGTGCTCTGTGACAAGAGCATAAGGTCTTCTTGGGGCACCTAAATAACAAAAAAAAAAAAAAAAAAAAAAAAAATGCGTGTATATAAATACATATATGTTTTGCTGTAATATGGTTATTTACTTTTGTTTTTTTAGACTATAAAAACTTAAAAGAATAATAATGGTTGACTTTCTAGTCAACCATTAGAAAGCCATTAGTAATCTATTACAAGTATTCTATTTCTAATATTTTACTCAATAAATGAGTAGAGCCCCAAGACCTTTTCACTTTGATGTGTTCAAACAATAACTTAGAACATTTGTGTATTATCTTGATAAACATCCTCAAGACCTTACCAAGCAAAAAATCCTTACAAATTTTATGTTTTCTGATGTTTATGAGATAATAAGTGAATGCTCAAATTATGAATCAGTTTTACAAGTATTACAATCTGTTTGCATCAAACCATTAAATGGAGTTTATGCACAACATCTTTTAGCAACACGTAAACAAAAACTAGGAAACGGTTTGAAAAATCCTTTTCAAACCTCAAAGCTTATATACAGGTTTCTGCAATTAAATATCATCGTGAGGAGATCCATTTATAAATTAATACTCTCAAGTTCCTAATAAATGTCCCCCCTCCCCCCGTTTATTAATTTTTGGATATTTTTCTCACCCACCCTAAGCTTATTAAGACCCACTCGTTTATTTATTTTTACTTGTTATCAACAAAAAAATTATATATCTCTAAAGTAAAAAAAAAAATTCAGTGAAAATCGACCTTAAAAATTTAAAAATAATTTTCAGTCACCGATAAAAACAAAAACTTTCAATGTAAACAGGTTTTACAAATTGTCGACCTATTAAATATCGATTTGCTAAAAATGAACTTTTAGTTTATTTCTCAACAAAGCTTTGGTTGTAACCATAGGATTTAATATGCTGAATATAAGTTTTATACTTTGCAAATTATAAAACTTATATCAGCATATTAAATTCTATTGAAATTATGATAAAACAGCCTAACCCTACCCTAACAGCTGTTAGAAAATGCGCTTTTGACAGCAACTCAAATACGCATTTGACTTGAACATGCTTAATTTGCATGCCGAATAAACGGGGGGAGGGGGGATTGAACATGCCCCCTGTTTATTAAATTTTAGAAAAAATCTCCTCCTCCGTTCGTATATTAACTCCCTCCCCCCCCCCCCCCGTTTATTAGATTTTAACTAAAATTCCCACCCACCCGTTTATTCCCACCCCCCGTTGTATTCGGCATTCGAGAGTAAATTTGCAAGGCATTAAACAACGACTCCTTGAAAACAGTTCAATCTCAGCAAGCACATAAAATTTATTTCAACATTAAGATTTGGTTAAAAAATATATATATATATATATAAAAATTTCGATGTTATTTCAACATAAGTTCAACGTTAAAAACAAACATTGAAAATTTCAACGTTTGTTCAACATTTTTTTCAATTAATTTCTAACATTAATGCTTTGCCATAGCAATTAAAAATTTACCGATAAATTTACACTTAATTTTTAACCTAATGGACAATTTTTTAAGATTTTAAGGGACCCTAATGATGGATTTTGAGGGGGCTTGGACCCAGTAGCCACGGCACTACTTGGATATGTCAGTATCGTACCATTCATGACACAGCTTTCTACTAACAATTTTTTTTGCACACAATATTATCTAAATCGTCAGGTTGCTAAGATGACTAAGTGTTAAATAAATTTCTTATTTTAACAATAGTTAGTAAAAACAACTTTCTCCCAAAATATCTTTTTTTTTTGTTATTAATACTTTGCTGTCTTTTTTTAAGAAATCTCAGCTCTTTTTTGAGCATATTGTTAGAAATTCTTAATAACTCTTTCTTTTTTTATGTGTCTCCTAAATAACCACTTGACTACCTCTTCTCCTAATAATTCAGCAAAACCTTACATTAGCAAGACCACATAATCATCAGTCCTATTCTTTTTATCATATACCTTATTTAGTAAGATACGAAAATTGCTTTGTTAGGGATCGTTTTGCATTAAAGCGTAGTGCTTAAAAGATCAAAAGTCCGCTTTATTTGATGTATACGTTTCTTTGTAATTTTTTATTATAAGAACAACGAAATATATATTCTAAAAAAAAATTTAATGTATATAAATTATGATTGGAAGCTGGGGAGAAGTTAGTTTTACATTTATACATAAAACTAAGAATATTAAAAAGATTGAACATTAAAATTTGTTTATTTCTAATTATTTAAGTCAGACAAAACTTTTGGTCGATTTTGTCGAAAACAATTTTTTTGTTTGTTAATCCTTTAAGTTAAAAATTTTTCAAATTCCAATAAACTAAATCGACGCAAGGGCGGATTCATAGGGAAGGTGGGGTGAGGATGGGGTGGGGGTGGAAGGAGGGAGCGATTGCCCCCCCCCCTCCTTATTAAAAAGTTTTGAAATTTTTTATTTTTGTATGTTTGTATATAAACACTGCAAGTTGTTTTAAAACGGAAATAATATAGTTAGCTGTCGAAATAAAATTACAATTTTGAAAAAATTATGTGGTGCAAATTCAAAATTGTGTGATTGCTTTCTTACAAATAATCAAATCTGAAATTGTCCCTCCCCCTCCTTATTAAATCGTCTGCATCCCCAAATCGAAAAAAATTTAAAATCGCCCCCCTCTTACGACATGGTCTGGATCCACCCTTGCATCGACGCACCCTATTAAAACCTTTACCTGTAAAATAGCAGCAACATTTAACTACTTTAGTGGAACAACAAAGTCCAATGTGCAAGACATCGTGGCTCTAATCAAATTTGTAAATAAAAAATCAATTAACAACTATTTTCTCGACCATCAACCCTGCCATTATACAATCATTTAACAAATAATAACAATAATAATCCATGAAGCTGTGAAAATAAAATTAAATAAACATACACATATATACCGCAACGTAACTTATACGTAAGGCTTTAACAACCTTGAATTTATCTAATAAGTTTTAAGAACAATAGTTTTAGATACATTAACTGTATCCTAAGGTAGTTTTTACCATGATTTAATTGTTTGTTTAGTAATAAAGTTAATTCTTGATGTGCTTAAAGCGCTTCTTCGCCAGATATTTGGATTATGTGCTTTTGTCCGAGAGCTATTTTTCCCGGTCAGCTTTTTCATTTCACAGAATTGTGTCTAATAGTTTTGTTCTTACCCTTATTAAATCTAAAAAATTGAACTTTGTTGTCGGAATGACGCCTCTCTTCTAATGTAATTAATTCAAAGCACGAGTTTTTTGTCGCATTCTAGACTTCATAGATTTTTAATCCTAGTTCCTCGCAATTGTACTTGTTCGATCAGCTTTACATTTTTGTACTTGTTCGATCAGCTTTACAATTTTACATTCTTTTTATCATAATAATTCTAGACTGAATCAGCGTATGTTAAATAAAAGCGAACCTGAGAAGATGAATAAAGTATATATGATGTATAAACTAACTATAAAAATTTATAAACTCTTTTAATTTACATTAAGATGTTTTAAGCTGTTTTATTAGATCAAGTTTTTTATTTGTTATTCCAACCGTCATTTTAATATATATTTTTTTGTCATTAAGGTGCTCCAGGAAGACATAACAGTCTTATCACCAGGGAGGAGCATTTAAACAGGAAGCTCACGCCTCCTTTTGTACCAATGTTGTTGGTCTAGCCAGAACCAGCATTGAACCTCGATGCCATTAATAGGCTGTTTCAATACATCCGATATCACCAAACAAAGATCAATTTGGATACTTTTTTTGCTTAAATCATACAATCGATTTCTTTTTTGTTAAAAATATGCCTGTATTGATAACAGCCATCTCATACATGACTTGATTTTTTCATTCTAATATGTACAATTTTACATTTACTGGAGCTGGTATATATAAAAACGTAACCAACCGCAAAAAAAAAACAACAACTTGTTAGTGTTTTAATAGATATTCCAGGAAGCGAATCTTTATGAATAGAACGAAATGAACGCTAAGATAATAGAAGCATGAAAAAAAGAATAGCATAAAAAAACAATATTAAATTAAAAAAAAACAACAACTAAAAAACTTAATTTTTTATTTACATACAAAAACTATTATTAAGTTATTTCTATTAGTCGTATAAAACTTTTTAAATCTCAAATAAAAAATAAATAATTATACCCAAAAAAATTCACATAAAATTAAAGTCAATAAATATCTTAAAGTATAAAACATAATTTGAGAATAAATATTTCAATGAAAATAATGGTATTATGTTCCAAACATTGAGAAAGTTTGATTTAGTGAAATAAAATGTGAAATATAAAATAGTGTTAGTGAAATATAAATAGCGTTAGTTAATTCTTTTATAATTTTAAACGTTCAAAATTCCAAACTTATGTTCTCAGGTAAAAATTAATATAAAGTTGTAATATACAACATTAATAGTAATAGTAACGCCGTTGCTATAACATTTATATTAACACATTTCCCAATCAATGAACCAAGTAATTGCGAAGAGCTGTTATACTTAAAGGAATCTTTTGATAAAGATTGTTTAAAACGTGCTGAGTTACTGCTTCTCCACATTGAAGCTAAAAAAAATAACTACACAATAAAAAAAAAGTAGAAATTTCTACCTTAGGGTAGGATGCGTGATATACCCTTAGTAAGGTATAACTTTCTACTTTTTAAGATATTATTTAAGAAAATTATATTAAAAACAATGATTTGTCATACAATTTTCTACTTTAAATGTATAACTTTCTACACTAAAAAGTAGAAAGTTATTATAAAATTGCATTTTGCGTCATTTTACTGTTTTAAACTTGTCGAAAGCCAAGAAATGAACCAAAAAGCTGTCAGTTTTATTGCTTGAACTAATTGAGATAATCTTTTATTTAAAAAAATGAAATAGTTTTTCTTTGTTTATGTTGTGTTATTTGTTTACTTTAGATCATTTATGTTGTGTTCTTTGCTTACTTTGTAAACCTGAAAATGTTCAAATTTTTTTATTCGAAAACTTTCAGATAAAAGTTTATTTATATTTTAAAAATTAACAATTGCTAAGAGAAAAATTTCTTTATCAACAATATAACAACACGTATATTAAAGCAATTTGAATAGTAATTTAATTTGATTTATTTTTCGATAACAATTTGATAAATAGTTTAAAATGTAGAATAATAAATAACTTTAATAAATAACTTTAGTTCAGTAGTTATCATTTTTTATAAAAAAAACTAAGGCAAGTACTAAGGAGTACTAAGAAGTTTCCAATTTTAATAGTTCTTTTTTACTAATCTAGTACTAAAAGTTTCTTAAGAGTTTCTTTAGAGTTATAAATAGGGCTTTTAGCACCAGTTTCTTATTTACATTGACTTAAAAATAAATGTATAGTTACTAGTTATGAATTAGTTTTTAACGGTGGGTAAAATGGCTGCCTAATATTCTTACTATCTATACATATTATTAAAAAAAAAAAAAGATTGACGCCATAAAATTAAAAGTAGCCAATAAAGTGAAGTTTATGGCACGATGAGATTACTACTTAAAGAGGACGAAGGTTTTTGGAGCTAATATTCATGATAAAACTGACAATATCACGTATGAAACAGGATTAATTCGAATTTCGGGTTCATGCAGTGCGCTTGATATGGTTGAAATAATGAAACAACATCTAAATGTGTTTAAAATATTGATGAAAAAAGATTTGGTTGCATCTACTCATAATGGAGTATCTGTAAACAAGAAGTATATTCGAAACTTAGATGTTATTGGTCCATTTTGTCTTAATCCTGGTATACCTCTTGGAGTATGTGACACACTTTATACAAAAAAACATGATATTGAAAATTTAAGCAACCCCTGTGATGACGATAACAATGAAAATGATTCTTTTAACAAAGGCACCAACTTTAAATTTATAAATGATTGAGAAGATTATATTGACGCACGCAAACTGATAAAATACATCAAACCGTCAAGTGTTCGAAATCAAGTTTTTCAATCAAAAGTCAAGGCTCTACTTGGTAAAGAAATTGAACTTCATCTTGATGTAAAAAATCGTTGGAACACAATAACAATAATGATTGAGCCATTGATAAAGACAGAGGCGGCAAGAAACTTTATTAGAATTTAAGGCAGATATAAGTTTAGCCAATAATGTAGACTTTGAAAGGTTTACTAGAGGCAATGAAACCCATTAAACTTGCTATAGAGAATCTTAGTAGAGAAGATACAACTCTGCTGAGCGCTGAATTTATGTTTGCGATACTTTCTCTAGTTAATGGTAAAACTAGCAAAAAATTGACAGATATTTTGAGAATTAGAGTCGATGAACGCCTAAATACAGATGTCATGAATTTATCATGCTGTCTAAAGAACTCTACAATAACCCCATCCAGAGATATGATAATTTTTGCAGGAATTTTAACATCTTGATTTTTGGTGTTCATGACGTTAATATTATTGAAACAACTTCCAGTAATCCATCAGATAAATTTTAAAGTCTACAAGAGGAACTGAATGTGTTGCTGAGGAAAAATGAATCGCCAATAGTGCCTTCTTGACAGGACAATTTCAGGTGGCTTAAAGCTGAATTTAGTCTTTTTAAGAATACAGGCCAGCGTACAGAAAACTTAAAAAAGCTTTATGATGCATTATTAACAATTAAGACCACATATACGGATGTTGAAAAAGTATTCCCTATGTGTGCCAACTTTTGTACAAAAATAAGATCACGACTTTCAGATAAGTCGTTATCAGCTCTTGTACTTTTGAGATACTATTATAAAATGTAAAGATAACCGACTGTTATTAAGGGTGTTAGCTCTCTCAACAGAAAATTATCAAAGTTATGGAAATTCTTCAAGGGGAAAACTAGCCAAAATTTAGATTTGGTTCGTCTCTTATTACAAGAGTATATTCATTAGAAGCATAAAAGTTATTAAAATGTAGTGCGGTATTACTTAAAAATAAGTTCTATTTTAAAACTATTAAATCAAGCTCGCAAAAATATGCTTACGAGCGCCACCGTCTGATTATTCGTGTCACAACAGATATAGATGACAGAAAAACACTTACAATATTATCATTGTTGGCATAACCAAGCCATCAAATGATGATGATACATCAAACGTCTCTTAGTTTTTTAAACCTTGTAATTTAGAATGTACACGTTAAATTCTCTAGCCAAAACTTTTAGAAAAGTAGTTTAATGATCACAATGCAATTGCCAATCATACTTACTACCAATATATGCGCCATTGGTCCTAATAACTTTGATCAATCACTTTGTTTAATTATATGAAGACACTATAAGACTCCTTACTGAAACATAACACACCTCCACCACTCATAACATCTAATCAGTCATATTCAAGAATGTATCAAGTACCTAATAATTTCTTGTGAATGCAACTTAAAAATAAAATTGAATGCAAAAAGAAATATCCAAAAAGACAGGTGGATTTATAATAATAGTTAATCCCAACAAATACCATTATAGAGTTATCCCCTATTAAGGAGTTATCCCCTATTAAGGAGTTATCCCCTGTTATCAGCAAAACCTGGCTAATGAATCCCTTGACAATCATGATAATATTGAGATCCACTGACATAGACTACCACATAGATATTCTTGTGTGTTAATGGCTGCCTGAATATATCAGAATGGCAACCAACTCTTCAGAAAAGCTATCATACTCCCATAAAGATCCAATGGTTAAGTATAACAATCCAATACTGATTTACACAGCTGGTGACTTTAATGAATGTAATGTCGAGCCACTATCAAGAAATACCACTTTATAAAACAAACCATGATCCAACTCGAGTAATAAATTGCCTTGCCTTGACATTGTTTTAACAATCATTATATTTGTTACAAAAAAAAATAAAAATAACTTACATTTACTAGGTACCATACTATTGAAGATTCTTCACCAATATCGTTAACAAGAAGTTTAACAACCCAACCACTTGGACCAACCTAAAGTATATTAAACATATATATGTATTTTTTTTATTCAACTATATCAATAAAAATTTACAAATGCTCATCGTAAATAAACAGAATTCGGTTAGGTGTCACTTAAATAGTTACAAACTAGCCAATGGAATATATATATGTTAAACAAATAGTATAGATATTAGTAATAACTCTAGTAATAATACAAAACAATTACAATAATAATAGAAGTATAAATAATATTAAGAATAATTATAATACAATATAAATTGTATGTACATACCATAGATAACAATTAAATATATTAATAAAGAATAAATGTAGTAAAAATAACACAATAATAAAGAAATATAATATAAATAAATAATAAATAAAGCAAAAATCAAACCACTCATATGTTAAAGAGGCTATATATTAAAGATAACTACAGTACAGAGAATTTATGTATATATATATATATATATATATATATACATATATATATATATATATATATGGACACACATATATATATATATATATATATATGCACACACATATATATATATATATATATATATATATATATATATATATATATATATATATATGCACATATATATATATATATATGCACATATATATATATATATATATATATATATATATATATATATATATATATATATATATATATATATATATTTTTAACATCTTCGCTTTCAACAAGGCTGCAAGCAACCACTAATTAGTGTTAGAAGTTACTAGAAGAGAAAAGATGAAGATTGTAGAGCAAGATAACGATTGACAGACAACTTAAAAGATTGCAAATTATATGAATCAGGAAAGCAAGATGAAGGAAGCGAATTACAAAGAACTGATGTTCGAGGAAAAAAACTAGACGAACAAAAGTTTTTGGAGCACTTAGAAACAGTAACAGAAAAAGGATGAGTTTTAACTGAATGACAAGTAACACGAGAATGAATTTTAGTAGATGGCACAAGAGACGCTAGCTTTTTAGAGCAGTGCCCATTATAGTATTTGTAGAAAAGAGAAAGAGAAGCAACATTACGACGATGTGACAGAGGTTGAAGGTTGGCTGTAAGAGCAGGTCCAACTATGTTTACAGTGTGTTTTTGCACCTTGTCTAAAAGAGAAAGAGCATCATTAGAAGATCCACCCCAGATATGGCAACAATATTCCATACAAGACCGGATTTGAGATTTATAGAGATAGAGAATAGAATCCAGAGTAAGAAAGTGACAAGCTTGATAACGAGAAGCAACTTTAGCAGATGCTAATTTTGCAACGGATTTGATATAAGGTTTCCAAGAAAGATCAGAAGTAAGAGTTAATCCTAGAAGATGAAGGGTAGGAGGCTCATCGAGTACATTACCCTTCATAAATATAGGAAGGTCTAAACTATTGCGATAACAATTGGCTGAAAAAAATTGAGTTTTATCTGAATTAAAGTTCACCAGCCACTGTGAGCCAATATATATATTGAATGTAGACATCATGTATGAGAGTATGTAAATTATTATTTTATAAACATCAATAAATACAATTTTCTCTTGATACTAAATTTATTTATTTTTTTAAATTTTCGCTGGATTGTTGTGATTAGCGCCTTCAGCTTAAAAGTTTTTTGTTTGTCAGTTCTGCAACTGTCCCAGTTAATTTGTTGTGTGACATTGAACACAACAAATGAGACATTGTACACAACAAATTAACTGGGACAGTTGCAGAACTCTAAAAGTCAATGCTAAAATGTTTGATAGAAAAGTTCATGAGACACTTGAAATACAGTACCACCAATGTGCCCCTCAACAAATTGGTATCAATTTAGATAAGGGACAATATGTGTCAACAAAATTTTGGACACCATTTTTAGCACACTTATGTCAGAAAAAGACAAACCATCCCATTGACATAAAATAGAACTACCATTTTTAAAAATAGCATATAAACAAAAACAAACAAAAAACTTTTAAGCTGAAGACGCTGGTCACAACAATCCAGCAAAAAATTCTTTTCAAAAATAAATTTAGTATCAGGAGAAAATTGTATTTATTGATGATTATAAAATAATAATAATATATATATATATATATATATATATATATATATATATATATATATATATATATATATATATATATATATATATATATATATATACATATATGAATATATGTGTGTATGTATATATGTCAGGGTGGCCACTCCTTTTTTGTCTGAAAAAATTAGGATAATTTAGGATAATATAGGAGATTTTTGAATGTTTTTAGGGAGATTTATCGGGAAATTTGAAAAAAAAAAATTTAATTCTCAGGAGATTTTAGGAGGATTTCAAAAATAAAGTGGCAATAAAAAGTTTTCATTTTAATTAAAAACTGTAAGAATGCCTAGCTAAAATAATTAAGATAAAATTAGGGCCCAAATACTGTTATTTAAAATAATCTGATGTCTCTACACATAAAAAAATATTAACTTGAAACAAATCAATTTCATACTTGCATTAGAAATTTAACAAATTTAACATTGCACTAAATATATTTCTGCATCATAGATGAGTATGCATTGCAAGCAGAAAAGCAGAAATCATTGATAAAAATGTTTAGAAATCATTGGTAGAAATATATTTAGTGCAATGTTAAATTTGTTAAATTTCTGAATGGAAGTATGGTTCCTTTAAAGAAAATTGTTCATTATAACTAGCAATCTCTTTTAAAATTCTTCAGTTTAGCATCATGATCAGTTCAGAAAAAATTTCTTTTTTGATAAATTTTGATAAAAACAGCCTCAGTAAATTGTTTCCACAAGAAAAAGTGTCATAGGATTGTCGGTTTGGAAAACTAACAAAAAAGAATTTAACAATTTTGCAGTTTCTTTAAAAATTGCAGCTTTATCCCTATAAAGCTGCAATTTATGTTATGGATACTACAAACACATCTTTATAGTATCCATAAATAGTATTTAACCCAAGCTTACGTTGACCAGGTTGCTTGCTTTTTGGTAAATTTTTCCAAAAGTCAATAATTAGAATAATCTTGTTACTTTTTGTTACTTTCTCATTTTCAATCCAACGATAGCTACAGAACTGTAGAGCATAGTCTGAAAACTGAGCTTGAGTAAGATTTTCAAAATCAGCAAGGCGAGAAGGGCTCTCATGGAATTCTTATACAATGAAGACAGGAATTTGTTCAATTTCCATCCTGAAGCATTTATACCATTACTGAATAAACAGTGCATTGTTTGAAGGCCGCATGATCCAATCGATACTAACTGACTGAGTTTACATTCACCATTTACGGAAATTTATCATAATATTGACTGAGTAAACCACTCAACCATTTACGGAAATTTATCATATCGACAGCAGCAGCTTTTCCCAAAAATTCAGAGTTGAAATATCTTGTTTTTACCATCTCTAATGAGGAGTCCCAATATCTAACATGCAAATCCATCTGATTCTTCTTGACAACTTGGTTGTAAGATTCATCAAATCGGCAAACAAACTGATCAAGCTCTGATGTCTCACAAAAAATTTCCTTAAAATATGGTGCAATTCCGAAGCACACAAGATAAGTGTACTTTATTTTCTCACAAGAAAATTGTTTCCCAAAAGAAAATTGACTCTCACTAAACATTGTAGTAAATAATTCAGATTTGTTTGCACTTGATCAAAAAAGAATGTTTTGAAAGCACAATATCAACTGCCCACATTATCTCTGCTTTCTTTGCTAACTGTGACTCAGCAATAAATACAATAGAAGTTTGCTGAGTTTGCTGTTGGTTCTACAGCAGTTTTTAATGTATATTTATCACAGACAGGCATACGTTGTTTATGTTTGTTTCCATTAGCATGTTTTTCTAATGCCTTTGTACTCAGATCTGCAACAGATATAACTTTCAAACATACCTTACATTTTACTAAATACAAATCATTTGGAGATATTATATTGTTTATAATTATTGTGATTTAATTAATGATCTTGAAATTTAATTTTATATTTGACTGACCTTTTCTAATCTACAAATACAAAAAAATTTAGGTTAATTTAGTAAAATAAAAACGTGAATAAAAATAATTTTAATTCCAATACAAGCCACTGACAGAAATAATAAAAAAGTAGAGCTAGAAATTAGAATAAAAAAATTTGAAAGTATAAAAACTTATGCACCCAGTATTAAAAACTTACATTTTTTGCAGATGGCAGTGTAAAGTTAGTAAAAATAATAGAACACAATATTTTTTATAATAAACCGATAAATTTTTTTTTTCATAATATATTAAATATATTCATACATAGATAAATAAATTAATAAAATGAATATGTAAAAAAACTAAATTTTGTGAATATGCAAAAGCATGTTATGAAAAATTTTCAAAACAAGTGCTGCTAAATATTACCCATGTTAAATTAATGCCATTAAACAAATATAACTTAAATATACACAGTGTACACCTTTGGCTCAATGACTGTTTATATTTCTTCTATCACTCACAGGCATATTGTTATAAATTTTTATTCATTAACATGTATTTTCAATGTGTTTGTATCCAGACCTGCAACAGATAAAACTTTAAACATACAGCAATCATCTAGGTCATATTTAAAAAATTCAGAATATATTTTGCAAAAAACATTGTTAAACAATGCAGAATAATTTATTTTATAAATTTAGCATTCAGCTCGTGGCTTTCTCAACTTGATGATAGGTGATAAATGAAAAAGGTAAAAAAAAAACAAATGTATTACAAAATTATATTTTTAGAAAAAAACTTATGGCAAAAAGTAGTTAAAAGAAAGATATCCGGAAATAAAAAATCATCAAACATATCTAACATAATAACATAATACTTAACCAAATAAAATTTTTTATAGTTATTGTCTTTTTTTAGCTTTATATTTGACTGACATTTTCTATTCTTAAAGTACAAAATTATTTTAGGTCAACTTTATTAAAGTTTTAATAAAAATAATTTTAATGCTCAAAAGTCAGGCAAAAATAAGAAAAAAAAGCTTAAATTTTAT